AAAAAAAAAAAAAAAAAAAAAAAAAAAAAAAAAAAAAAAAAAAAAAGCAGAAATTGGGCTTGTTTTTGGCTTAATTGGCTTGTGAGTTGCTTGTTGGCTAGTTTTTGGCTTGTAGCTTGTTGCTTGTTTGGCTTGTAGCTTGTTGTAGCTTGTTGCTTCTTTTTTTTGAACGGCAAGCGGGGGCAAGGGGCAAGCAGGGACAAGGGGGGGAAAGAGTCAGGGGTGCACAGCGGGCCCACCACAGTCCCATACTGCACACCGGTGGGATCTAGTCACATAGAGTGTTGGGGTTCTTAGGGATTGGCTTGTTTTGAAATGGGATGAGATTGATTTTTGGCTTATTGTGAAAGTCAGGGTGCTTATTTACCGCATGAAAGTTGGCAACTGTGTATAAGTGGCACAGCATGGGAGTCTGGATATAAATTAATTTTCCAGGCACTGCTCTGTGGATTCATTTGGAGTTAGGATTCGGGCCTAGTCTACACTTAAAAGTTTCACAGGCATAGCTACGTCAGTGAGAAGTGTGGGGAAAAAATCCCCCCCTAACCCGTCTAGGTATGCCAGCAAAAGCTGTAGTGTAGACACAGTTATACCATGAAAAAATAGTCCTTTTGCCAGTAGAGCTTATTTTGTTTTGGAAACTGGTCTAAACGGTACCAGAAAAAGAGCTCTTTTGCCGATATAAGCAGCATCTTCACTAGGAGAGTTTGCCAGTATAACTACATTCATATCACTGTACCGGCAAATCCTTTCTAGTGTAGATCAGAAGATCTGTTTCCAAGTGATATAATCATTTGCTTAGGAAGTAACTGGTTGGGATTCTGCTATGTTAGGGCCTTCCTTAAAGTGTGGTAGCCGTGTTAGTCGGTTTCAGCAAAAAGACCGAGGAGTACTTGTGGCACCTTAGAGACTAACAAATTTATTTGGGCATAAGCTTCCACTGCATGCATCTGATGAAGTGGGGTTTAGCTCACGAAAGCTTATGCCCAAATAAATTTGTTAGTCTCTAAGGTGCCACAAGTACTCCTCGTTCTTTTTGCTGAAACAATAGGTTTTCCATTGATTTCAAGGGGCTTTGGACCAAGCCCTAAATTTGCCTGTGGTTTAGAGTCTGTTCTTGCTCCCACTGAAGGTAATTCCAAAACTTCAAATGACTTCAAATAGGATGAGGCCCTTAAAGCACAATAACCTGTTTTCAATGTAATGCATTTGAATGAAGAGGCCTGTGTGCATAGAAAACAGAATCATGGTTTCCCATGCCAGGGACTCTTTTGTTTTGCTTTGTAATCCACTCCCCAGGGAGCCAGGTGGTGTGAGGAAATGAATAGGGATCCACAGAGCAGAACAGAAAAGGCAAAGAAAAGGGATGGAGGCCCAGCAAAAGGGCGAGGTTGGTGGGGGAAGGGGCTGAAATGCAAAGGAGAGAAGAGGCAAATAGTCTACTTAGGGCAGTGGTGGAAGTCCTATTGTTTGGAACTATTAAAACTAGACTGGGCAAAACACTTGAATATGCTCTATAAGGGACAATACTTCATCTGCAGAGAGACAGACTGGCTGATCTAATGGGCCTTTTCCATTTATTATCATTAATTGTTAATTATTATTATTATGATCGGTAGCAGTAGCAGTAGCAGCAGTTGTCATTTATTTATATTGAGATAGCGCCTTGGGACCCCCGCCAAGATGGGACCCCACTATGCCAGGCACTCTACTATAATACACTGATCATCATCATAATTAATAATCATAGTTATGGGGCTACTCATGGTATCAAAGTGAAGAACATACAAAAGTGCTTGCTGGATCAGGGCCATAGAATAAGAAACAGTCCTTTCCCAGTGGGGCTTACAATCTGAATAGACAAGACAGATGAGGAGTTGTGAGCAGGGGAGAGCACCCACAAGCAGAGTGAACAATTTGATGGTTTGCAAATGTCTTATTAGTTCCATGATTTTTGTTGAATTTTGTTTTGTTTTGATTTTTTCCTTCTCGGACTTACATGCTTCTATTATATCAGACTCTACTACACCAAGGTTTGAAGCAGGCAAGTGATCAAACTGCAGGGGTGTTGGAACAATCTTTATAGTAGGGGGTGCTGAGAGCTGTTGAACCAAAGCGTAAACCCTGTATATGATGGAAACCACTTCAAGCCAGGGGGTGCAGCAGCACTCCCCCACCCCCCAGTTCCAGCACCTATGCGGGATGGGGACTCAGAGATTGATGGGAACGCTATTATCTCCAGGGGAAATGCAATGGAAATTTGCCTAGAGCAGCACTATACTGGGTGTTCAGTCAGATGAAAGTAGTCACAGGGTCAACTTCAAGTGGGGATAAATTGGCAGGGAACCCAGGAATCCTATCCATCTTAGTTATTCATATGACCCTTATTGCCATACTACCAGAGCATACACCTCATGAGGTAGGGCAGAGCTAGCATCCCCATTTTACAGATGAGGAACTGAGGCACAGAAAAGCCATTTGCCCAAGCTCAGGAAGTTTGACATATGGAATTGAAGCAGGGTTTTCCGCCTCCCAGGCTAGTATCCTAACTGCTAAGAAGGCTTTTCTCTTGGGAAGGCTCCCTGAGGCTATATCTACACAAGCACTTTTGTCAGTAAAACTTTTTGTCAGTCAGGGGTGTGAAATAAACACACTGTAAGGCTCATAGTAGACATGTAGCTTGAAGTGTCAGATCCTGGATTTAACAACCTTGAGGGCAAGCCACAAGGCTCACCCATTGTTCCAGGCTTTTACTAGAGGGGCAGGGGGCATGCTCGTGGAAGAGGGTATGCTTTGAGATTTCATTTTGGAAAGAATTTATTTTTTTCTTAGCATTTGGGCAGGTTCAGAATTGGTCTGGGGGAAAGAAAGAAACAGGCACCACCCAGTTGAGAGGAAACTGTTTGAGCATATGGATGGTAAATATAGTCCATCACCCTTTGTTGATGGTGAAGCAGACGCTAATGAATTGCTGCTTTCCTTACCCAACCCTAACCTAGAGATCAGATCATCAGAGGAATCTACACCTCACAGTAAACACTAAGGTCACAAAGAATCCTCACCACACACACACTACAGTAGCCATAGAAGTTTGTGTTGTGAGGCCTTTATCCTTTCATCCTCCTTCACCCCCTACACGCCCTCCCAGGGGAAGGAGGCAAAAGCAGCATTGTGTTGGCAACCATTTAACTGACAGCCAGATGCACTTCATAATTGCATAAATAAAGCTGCACTACATACTTGATCCTTGCCCAACTTATTCTAGTTACAAGTGTGCGAGAGGGCAACTCTGACGTAGTGTGCAGAGGTCTGAGAATCAGGTTGTCTTAGTTCTTCTCATCTTGACTCTGCCACTGATGTGCTGTTTGATCCTGGACAAGTCGTTTCACCTCTCTGTACCTCAGTTTCCATATCCATGAAATGGGGATGATCCTATTTATCCACCATTGCAAAGTGCTTTGAGATCAAGGAATGAAAAGCTCTTTAGAAGTGCATTAATGTGACATCTTTCTCTCCCACAGTAAGTGGCTTGTAGCTATAGCACTGTAGCTTGGGCTTTTATTGGCTCTTACAAACAAATCAGGCTCTGTACTGTCTGCGAGATGTCCTATATGCTGTGGGAAGTTTTGTTGGTGATTCAGGAAATGCTGGAGCTGTGGTCCTTCTATTCACACTGCCAGCCCTAGAGCCATTGTTCTGTAGCACATTCTCTTGGGCTAAGGATCAGAAGTTGAAGGGGTTACTTTCTTTATCTCCCAGTCAGTCTCCAACGGGGGATCAGCCTAGAGTGAAAAAAGTGGAGGTACTATTCCAAACTCTGCCTACTAATTAAACTCTGCTTATATGAGCAGACAAAATGTGACAGTGCTCACAGTATGTTGTGCAGATGTTCAAAATATGATGCTCTGTAAGCTCCATGGGGCTGCTTGAGCTTGACTCCCACCTGGTGGGACGGGGGTGGGAGGTAATAGGCACCTATAAAAGACAAAGCCCCGAATATCGAGATTGCCCCTATAAAATAGGGACATCTGATCACCCTATGGGGGGGGGGGGTTGGTTCAGCCCATTATAGACAGTCCAATTGGGGTCTGGTGCTGAACCCCCTAGTGTTGGGGTGTCAGGGTGGGGGCAGCATCTTAGCCTCATGACTTTGCACATTAACCACAGCCCACGTTCTGGGTCCCCAGTGAGCCCCAGAGCTGAGGGCTGGCGCTGCTGGACGATGGGAGGGGGAAGCCCTCAGTAGGTATAGGCCCTATTCAGGAAGCAAGCGAGGGCGGGTTCCATGGAACTGTCACTCCTTTGAGAGGCACTCTGTGATTTGACAGACGGCTGGACACGTGGTGGCAGGGTGGGGCTATATAAGTCCGGGCAGGGTAGGCGGGTGCCGCCATTTTGTCCAGTGAGGAGAAGCGGAGCGGGAGCCTGTTTGGGATCGAGTCGGCTGCGACGTAGCGCGTGCTCCCTTCTCGCACCCACTCGCCCACCCCGGGAATCGGTGAGCGCCTCACCTGGGGATCAGGGCCGGGCTGAACCGGGGCCGGGCTCCGCGTTGGGGCGGATGGAGACGTCAGGCCCCGCCGGCGCCGAACAAAGAGCCGCCGCCATTTTGTGCGCCGGGCCCGGGCGGCGGCCGCTCCGTTGAGGGGACCTGGGCGGGGGCGCAGCGGGGAGATCGCACTCGAGGCGCGAACGCGGACCCCCCCTCGCGACGGGGGCGCGGCGAGACCAGGCCTGGCTGGGCAAGAGGCGCCGCGGGGGGATCCGGGGCGAGGGTCCTCCGTGGGGCGGGCCTGGATGGAGCCCAGTTCCCATCTCGGCTTCCTGGAATGGGAGCTGGCTTAGGGAGCGCGGGGCCTGCCGCCGAGCTGCGCGGGGGGGGTCCCCGCTCCCCGCTCTCCGCTCTCCGTGCAGCCCCGGGCGGGGAGGGACAGGCTGGTCGTACATGCCCGGCCTAGGCCGGATGGGTCCCCTCTGCGGCGGGCGCCAGGGCCTGACCCCGATCCCCGGGCCCCCGATCCTGCCCCTGGATGCGCAGATCCGCTTCGCGCGCTGCTCTGAGAACAATAGAGCCCGCGGCTCGCGGGGGCTGCGGCGCCCCCTGCAGGTTTTGCTGGTGCCAACTTTCCAGACCCGACATTTAGACGCGGAGGGGTCTAGTCTCCTAATAACGTATACCTACGTATGAGCCGCTAGAGTTCAGCCTAGTTTGATTCCACCTGTACCTGGCATAGTCTCCAGGGGTTAAAGAACCACAGGTCCTGTTTTCCTCCCACGAAAGTTTAGGCCCAAATAAATGTTAATCTCTAAGGTGCCACAAGTACTCTTCGTTCCTCTTTCCCAAAGAAGGGTGGTCTTTCTTCAAGTTAACTAACTTGAGTTAAAATCCTAGTGAAGAAAAGTCCGTTTATAGTTTTAACACGTTAACCCGTGGGGAGCCTAATCTTTATATTTCATTATGTATCATTGCTGTGGTTTCTGGGTGCAGTACTTTTTAGGTACCTAACTCCTATGGATTTCAGTGGAAGTTAGCAGCCTAACGACCACTGAGGATCTAGGCCAAAATACTGTACTTATCTGTAGGTTGAATGGAAGTAAAGAAAAATTTACTTTCAGTATTTCTCTTCTAGTGATGCATCGTGACTCCTGTCCGCTGGACTGCAAGGTTTATGTAGGTAACCTTGGAAACAATGGCAACAAAACTGAATTGGAACGAGCTTTTGGCTACTATGGACCACTGCGCAGTGTGTGGGTTGCTAGAAATCCTCCTGGCTTTGCTTTTGTTGAATTTGAAGATCCCCGAGATGCAGCTGATGCAGTGAGAGAATTAGATGGAAGGTAACGTTTGCTTTTTAGGCTATGTAGTTAATTTAATTAAAACTAAATGCTATAGCCAGTAAGCAACTTGTATTCACACTTAAATTGACCAAGATCGAGTAACACTGAAACATCATGGTCTTGAATTTCTTAACCAATCATGCAGTTGTTGGTTAGTATTACTTACTGACTAGTTTAATTTATAATGCAGAATAACCATTTTAATTGAGGTGGTTAACTGTAAAAATAGGCTTTTTCACAGATAATTTCAATGTTCATATTTTTGGTCATTGAAGCCAGATCTAGAATCCTTTGCTTGTGTAATAATGTTGGTTAAGAGTGTGATTCATTATGTTTAACTGGCAAAGCCCTAGTGTAGAGGCATTTATACCTGCAAAGAAGTCTTTTTGCTGCTATAGTTTTTCATTTGGGGAATTGGTATAGGAAATGTTTTGTTGCTATAAGCTGTTATAATTTGCTGATATGCTGACAAACCCTTTCTAGTATAGACTTGGCCTGAGAGTGGAAATTTCAAATGCCTAAACACATCTAGAAGAAATACTTGAGCTGCTAGAGTTCAGCCTAGTTTGAGTCCACCTGTACCTGGCATATGAGGCACAAGAGATGGACACTAAGTCAATAACACTTCATTTTGAGTTGAAGGGAATCTTTAGTTTTTGTGATTTAATTTATGAATACTATTAAATACATGTAACACTTCAGAAGTGTCTGGTATTTGATCATTGCTTTTAAGATGGGGCTAAGTTTAAAATTTGAAATGCATGAGAACAAAGATATATTTGAATTTTGAGCTATTAAATATTTTTTAAAATACTGATATAAAAATATTTGCATTTTGACTGCCAGCCAGATTTGAACATATTATAAACAGCTGAGCAACCTACCTTGATTTTGAATTCACAGGTCTCTATAGCTACAATTGAGTAAAGACTTCACAGTAAACCCTGGTGCAGCGGTTCTCAAACTTTTGTACTGGTTACCCCTTTCACATAGCAAGCCTCTGAGTGTGACCCCCTTGTTAATTTTTTAAATATATTTAACCACATTATAAATGCTATAGGGAAAGCAGGGTTTGGGGTGGAGACTGACAGCTCGCAACCCTGCCATGTAATAACCTCATGAGTCCCAGTTTGAGAACCCCTGCCATAGTGCAATTGTGACTTCCATAAATTGTACCTGAGTGTTAAATGCTGTCCCTTCATCTCAATCAAATTTAAAAATGAATTGGTTTAGTTTTCTTGTAAAATCCTCTATATGGAGAGAGGAGATGCAGGATTTTTTGTTCTCTCAGAAATGGTATTAGGGAAGCCATTTTTGTTCAGAGTATACAGTAAAATCTGCTTCAATTAAGATTTTTATCTTGACATAAGACAGAAATGCTGTGAAGGTATAAAACTGCAGTGTTCAGTAAAATCGATCCTCTTTAGTTTCCAGCTGTATATAAACTACTGTTTGAGTTAATGAAGTCAAATCTACAAAATCCGTGTCCTGAAGGCTGTCTCTCCCTGTTTAAGTAGCTTTGGACAGGAGAGGCTCTGGTCACCTGTGAATTTGTTTAGATCATTTTGTATTGGGCTCATTATGTTAGTATCCGAGCACCTTATATATTTGACTAAATGTACACAAGAAATATTTCCCTTCTCCAGTGCTATGTCAGTGTGTCTTCAGTGCAGACAGATTTGTTGCGTGGAGCATTAACAGTAACCTTTTTTCCAGAACACTCTGCGGGTGCCGTGTCAGGGTGGAGCTGTCTAATGGTGAAAAACGGAGTCGTAATCGTGGTCCGCCTCCCTCATGGGGTAGGCGTCCTCGAGATGATTATCGCAGAAGAAGTCCTCCTCCTCGCCGCAGGTACCCTAGGGCAAAGATCATGCATAGAGCTGTTGAAATTGTTACCATTTAGCATCATAGAAGCAGGCTTTCTTTAAAGCATGTTGATGGGTAACATCTTAAACATCCTGATCACAATTCGGAGATGCCAGACACTTTATATAAAAAAATCAAGGTGAACATAAATTGTATTGAACGTTGGCTTTTGTCCTTAGGTCACTGTAAGTTGATAGTCAGCGCCCTCTGCCCCGGACTTACCCTTTTCCTTCCTAAAATCTGCACATCTTCTAGTCACTTTCCCTTTCTTCCCATACATCTACTTAGGCTGTTCCCTTTCCTTTACTCCATAATGGCAAACATTACATACAGCAACTTAGCTTTTCCATGCAAGTGCATTTCTCCACTTCGTAACAATTCAAATATTTGCCATGCAGGCAGCTGTTTAATAATGATAAAACAAGTAACAGTTGCATTTAAATGTACAAATCTAATTTGACAGTAGTAAAGAATTTAAAACGTCTTGTGACAGTATCTGTCATTTGAGTTTTGCAAACGCAAATCTAAAATATAGCAGGGTTTTTGGTAACTGCCTATATTCTTGGACCCAGACTAAATTGTCTGGATGTTCTATAACGGTGCACGTCTCACACCTACAACATGGTTCATACAGGACTGAATTTACCTATTGCAGGTGAGTGAAGTCCTCACAGGATAAGCTTGAAACCATGTCCCTTTTGCTGTTTTAAAAAAAAAAAAACCACAATAGGAGTATGTTAGCTGATAGATGGTTGTACTGATGGCTTGTTTTTCATTTTTATATGCTTTTTGGTCCATCTATTAATAAAAATGAACCCGTTACAGAGTCACCATCATGTCTCTTCTCACCACCCTCTGAGTCTGCATTAGCCAGTCAACTAGCCCTTTCAGCGTCATGTGACCAGCGCGCCCCATTCAGCTTGGCTGGTGTCGTTTCACATGACCCAGGCATGGCCAGTCGTCAGGTTGCACCGCCCTTTGGTTCCCGAGCATGCTGTTTTCTCTCAGCCTTCTCTCCAACCTTAACCAAATCGGCAGCAGCCACCTCGACCGCCCACACATTCCCGGCCAATCAGCTCAGCTGTTTATTTACCAAATGTCTTCACAACAACTACAGCAGCAGCCTTCGGCTAACAAAAAAGCAGGAAAAATCCACAACACCCCCTTCGCCAACCAACTAAATACAACGCAACATCTGGCAAAACCTTTTCAGCAAATTCTTCTTGGCAGTCAGTCCGGCAGCCTCACCTCACCATTTCTAGCTTGTTGAAACCAAAAACTAGTAAGTTTTTCCTGCTTATACAGTTTACTGCTGGTTAAAATAAGGAGTAAGCGGCTTATAAGTAATTATTTTTCTCAATCAAAGGCTGGCTGTGCATAATTGAGTGGTAACGTACATATGTTGCTTGAATAAAACTCTTAAGGGTGATAAGGAAACTTTTAATGTAAATGGAACCAAAAGTAAATGAGGTATATTTGCATGTGAGATGCCAAACTAAATTTTTAATAAAGCTCTAACAAATGTAGCTTTTCCTTGCAAATCTGCCAAGTCCTATCACCTTTAAATGGTTTTACTAACCGTTTTCAAAACTTAAAACAATTACTTTTTTGGGATGAACTGGGCCAAGCTAAGGTTTTTAAGTCTAAACACACTCTGTGGCATTTCAGAGAATGCCCGTCACAAATATGCAGTTCTAATGTAGCACTTAATGGCATATCAGTATTTACACAGAGCGCATTTTCACTTTTTCTCCACTTGGTATCTCTTGTCTTGTCATGGACCTTTTTGGCTTGCATGGGTTCCAAAACATTGGTCTATGCTGTTTTTTGGAACCACTTGTGGGACTTTGGTGTGGTGTTCTGGGCAGTGGATTTAGTTGAAATGGAAGTGTTGCATTGGACAGGTCTGCTGTGAAGCATTAAGATAAAGTGAATTCTTGGTTGCAAAAGTGCTGTTCACACTGAGCTTTGTTTTATTGTTAATCTTTCCATACATTTTTACTGGACGATGGGTGCCAGTTGTTTCTTGGCACGTTCACTGGGCCCAACAGTGAGTTTGACAAGTTGGGAAATACCTCATCCCATTAATGCTAAAGAAATTGATAAAAAGGCTCATTTTTCTATTTCTGGTTCTAGATCACCACGAAGGAGAAGCTTTTCTCGTAGCCGCAGCAGGTAAGCAGCAGTTGGTTAAACCTGGGCTCTACTGTTTTATCCAGAGTGCTTTCTAAGGAATCTTCTTAGTGAAGTCCTTGCTTGTATTCACTCAAGTGTCATATTTAAAGTAGTTCTGCTGATACAAAACATAAAACAGTTTTAAGATTATTTGGTAAATGTTCCAAAGAACACTTACTAAAGACTGTTTTTAATAGGTTCCAGGGTTGATGGGGGAGGGAAAGCATTTCCATTACTTTGGGTTTGCTCCATCATTGCTAGGTTTCTAGCATTCCTGCATGCATGGCAGTAATACACCGTGTTTCCTTGTTGCTACGCTGCTTCCCTCTGATGCTGTGTTGAGACACTCTCTCAAACTGTTGGGGAAATTGATGGTACCCCAAGCCTGTCCTACTCATGAAGTGGACTGCCTCTAGAGTTCTATTTTTCACTTCAGAGCACTCATAGGAAAAGTTGCATCCATTGCTAAAATGCATTAGTTTCTTGGAATGTAAAGCTGCTTTAATAGCATGTAGCTACATGATACAGTGGTTGGTTGAGCACAGGAAACTATCAGATGGAAACCAGGGGCTCTAGTACTATAGTACTGTGCATGTAATTTTTAAAATTTGATTAAATGTAAAAATGTATGTATGCAATAGGAGTTTTAAGCAGTGTCTGAATTCAAGCTGATTATTCCTCTTAACTACATGAGGAAGGAGGCTACTGTCACAACTGCCTTATTAATGGATAAGTTTCCTGATTAAATAGTTCCAAACTTTACAGAGAATGTGATACTTTTTAATGAGGTGTAATAGAATTGTACACTTAATGCAGTGCTGAACTAGCCATGCTAAAACATAAGGCAGTGATATTTGAAAAAGGCAATTTGATATAAAAAACTAATGTGGTGCTCAAATAGTACATTGCAAAGATGGAAAGGCCTGGAATTTTCTTGGTCGCTTCAGTTGTAAGACACTTGACCTATCTTTACACGTTTCTTTGCACAGTAATGGTCCGTCATGCATATTCAAACATTCTCTTGTAATATAATCCAGTTAAACTTCACTCATGTGGATATTCATCTTTCATTGTAATCTCATAGGTCCCTCTCTAGAGACAGAAGGAGAGAGAGATCACTTTCACGGGAGAGAAATCACAAGCCTTCCCGTTCCTTTTCCAGGTCTCGTAGGTAAGAATATGTTGTATCTTCAGATTTCACTTTCTATTTAATTTTGAAAGGCTTATTATGCCATATCATCAATGCAGTAACTGAAAGCTCTGCTACAGTGAACATTTTTCTTTAGTGCTTTAGGTAAGTTCTTTTCTCAATGAACTTGTAACCTAAGATCAGTTTTGATATCTTCATAACTTCATCCACTCAATACAGTTTTTAAAGCACTTTCCAAAAGTTTCAAGTATGTAATTTAGAGTTGGACTGGAAGTAACGTCCCCAAGTCAAATAATAAAATTAGTTCCATCTCTAATAAACTAACTTTCATTCTCTTATTTAGTCGTTCCAGGTCAAATGAGAGAAAATAGGACTTCAGGAGGAGCTGTGTACAGGAAGTCATTAGATCTGAGCACAGGAGGGAGGAGTATGTACAGAACATTATGTTTTGTTGGAGACTTCATAAAGCTTGGTGCATTTTTAAAATGTTTTAGCTGTTGAACTTGCTTTGTTTCTTGTATCTTGTAACAGGTGACAAATGTAAAGATGTGAATCTGTATATGGTTCTGAACAGATCATATGATTTGTAATAAAACTTTGTTTTACAATGTACCCGTATGCTTAACTTTCATTTGCCTTGAGTGGTGTTCAACTTGTCTTGCATAGACAGAAAAATATATTTCTATTCTGTCCTGGAATCTTTTCTGGGTATCAAATGTAGATAACTTTTAAAAGGAAGGTTGCAGTGAATATTCATTGTAATAGCCTGATGTCATAACAGATGTTTATTAGTTTATCCAAAACAAGATGGTGATTCCTAGTACAGTTTTTGGAAAGAAGGCAGAAATTGCAAACCCAGTAGCAAGTAGAGAGGTGACTGAATTGCAGATAGTTTCGTACAGAGCTTTTTGGGAAGTTCTGTTGATATCCCATATTGGAACTCTGAAGAGCTACATTATGTAAAATGTAGATTTTTTTTATCCCTTGGGCCTAGGTAATTTTTGTACTTAATGTAATTAGAGCATTTTTTTTAAAATACTTGATAGCCTAAAATGCAAGCTGTTTGGCTAACCATATGTTACAGAATTTCTGAGCAGACCAAATTACACAACTGGAGTGGATGGCTTGAGTGCATATGGGTACATTGTAGAAGTGAAAAACATTACTGTGCAGGAGTTTTCATGTCACTTGTAAAATGTTTTGTGAAATCCTTGGGATTAAAGTTTTGGTTACAAATTTGTTGTAAGCATTTAACTTTTGAGTATTTAACACATTTCTATGCAGAACATTTAAATCAGGATGGTTTAGGCACATCTTAGTTCTAATCTAATACTGTTTCAAGGTAAAGGGAGTCAAATTGCAGCCATTTAAATTTAATATTTGGAATAATTAGCTAGTTAGCAGTACTACATTTCAGTTGTAAAATGCAAGTCCTTGAGAAGCCACTTGCTGCTTAGAAATAGTTAACTGCTCCATGACTTAACAAGGCTGGATCTATGATCCTATGATGGCTGGGCAGTCTGTCAGGATTACTCTTAAATTCAGTGCTTAGTGTTGTGCTTCTCAGTAATGAAACACTTGTTCAAAAAACACTTCAGTATATCTAGGGTGTTGACTTCCCATAATTGAGTTGGCAACCTGTTTAATAACCAGAGATTCAGAATTTGTCAACTTAGCTTTATCATGTATGTCCATGAGACTTAAAATTGCTTGTCTGTAAACTGAAGTCTTGCATGGAGATTTCACCCAGGGTGTAAAAATAATTCATGGCATGATTCAAGTGTAATTAGAGCACCAAACTGCATAATGCTCCTTTTCTTCCTATGTGTGGGGGGAAAAATGGTACATCATTCTTTGATTTTTGTGCATTTAGATTAAATCCATCATACTTTGAACAATCTTGTGGTTTAATTTCCTGAAATGTCTCTAAAAAGAGAGGAGGGTGCAGCATCATTTACTTTAATCTTGAGGTTTTAATGCAAGGAATTGTTATACTAGTGCCATTCTACTGACTTTTATTCACAAGGAAAATACAGCTGTTAGGTGTTAATAAAATGGAGTGAGGTATACAATTAATCACTCAGTAGCAGCTTCAGTTCTTGGAGGTTGGCATCCATGTCTCACCATCTGATGTAGTGGGGCTTATTCCTGACTAACATGAAGTAAAACATTAGTCCCTGGTAATTTAGCAAAAATGGTCGCTTTTTTAATCTTTCTGCATAAACTGATAGCATGCTCAAAAAAGTAGGCAAACCAGTCAGTAGGCAAGTATTTTCAATGTAAGATTGCTGTAGTCTTGCTAGAGCAAAATCTTACACTTCCTTTTAAAAATCCTAAACAGTGTACACAAATGGGATAGAAGTCATGTGTACCTTTGTAGAATTTCAGTGGTTACTATTTAACTACATGCTTTTCTGGATATGATGGACTACTCTTTAAAGGTGTTTTTAATGATAGGAAATGAATTGCTGCATTGTAATAAAAGCTGCATCTGTGCATGAACTTACTCTCCAATCTTGACATTTTAGATAACATTCTAAAATGACCAAATTTTCCAAAAAAAGTCAGTGAGCTTGGGTATTAGTTTTTGCATGTCCAGCATGATACCTTGGTCTCTTCCAGAAGAGCAGAGAACATACAGGTCTTGTGGACTTCAGTTGGAGTTTGATTTGGGGGTTTCTCAAATTAGGCAGTCTCACCTGATGACCATGTTGAAACATTGGGCAGCTAGTGGGCCCGGATTTAGTTATCTGGGAGGTTACCCTACTATGTATTCTAGGAGGTTGTTACTATTACTGACTTTGATTCTTGGTATATCCTTTTGTGTTAAACACTCCTTACTACTCATTGGGTCTCTGTGCTTGGGGAGACTTTTTATACTACTAGAAAAGCACCCAGACACCAGTGTGGAAATGACCTGGCTCTGTGGTTCTCAACCTTTCCCACACTATGTACCCCAAGTTTTACTTCACTTAAACTACTTGCTTACAAAAATGTCACAGCACTAGTACTGACATTGCTTGCTTGGGTCTGTATTAAATTTTAGTTTGTACTGCCTTTTAGTGCTTTTTATGTAGCCTCTTGTAAAACTAGGCAACTATCTAGAATGAATTGAGGTACCCCCTGGAACCACTGACCTAGATGATTTAATGTACCAAATGAGAGCTATTTGTTTCCTCCCTCCTCTGCTCTCAGCAATTTGTACAGAGGCTGCCACTGGGATGTTTACATTCTTCACAGCTTCCTGGGAGTGAGCTTTCCAGCTACAGGTGGGTGGTTCTAGGGGTTAAGTTTTGAGGGGGTAGTTAAAACTATTAAAGTTAGACTAAAACAATGCATTCTTTACTTTGCGAAGTGGTAGAGATGCAGTGCACTACAGGAAGGGGGGTGGTGTGGTTCCCACACCACAGTGTAGATGGGAATTTTTCTGACTCAACCTGCCTCACATATTGCCTGAAAAATGAGTCTACAAACAAATTGACCCTTATTTAGGTAGGGAATGTCCTACTGCGTCAGACCAGTGGTGCTATTTACTCTGGCATCTCTCAGACCAAGCTTCAGGGGAAGGTGCTAGAATCACTGTAAAGGACAGCTATAAATCTGGCCAGGAGGCAATCCTTGACAGTGCCTTATTTTTAATGCTTTCTCTAACAATGCATGTTCTCCACACCAAACTCATCTATTCCATAACCAGTGTGAGATGCTAAGTGGTGGATCTGAGCTTTTGGGATTTGCTAGCACCCTATTTAAAAAGACTCCACGTGCTCCCTTTGGAACCTATGTAGTACGATTCCAAGAGCATGAAGCTATGGAAGCAGCTGCAAGCAACAACAAAAAAAATCCATCCACCCATCATCTGCTACTCCACACATGCATAGCCCCTAAACTTGCCATCTATTCCAATCTACACAAGTCTCAGCACAAGATAACCCACATGCAAATCAACACAATCAGAACACAGTAAGCCCCAAACACCACTCTGAAGCATAGAACATAATCAGCATGAAGCAATAAAAACTACTAAAAGATGGTTGAGGGCTCTTTTTGTAATCACCAGGTTCAATCATCACTGGGCTTCACACCCTACCACCATCCAATTTAAGTTCATACACTTTCAGCTTTAAAAACACCACAATTTTACAGGTTACACCCCTGTGCTAACACAGGCTTTCAGCAACTAGTTAAGTCTATATGGGAACATGTGACTTGGTTTTATAATGAACTTTGGTGTTCATTGGCTAAGCTGGCTGTAAAGCAGTAAAACATGAAGAATGTGTTAAAGGGAATTTGATTCCTTTCATTAAAACTGTTAAATTCAGCACTTCTTCAAGTAGCCTTTACCTGTCCATGCTTGTGGAATCAAAGCACCTGCACTGTGATTTATAGAAAGTAGTGTCTGTTGAGGCCACTCCTTCCCCTTCCAATCCTGGAGAGTTCCCAGGATATAAAATGAGGTGTTCCAACCACCCTTCAGTCCTACTGCCAAAGGTGCAGCAAGCTTGGATTGCACACGCTGTCCTCAACGTTTTCCTTTCCCCCCCCCCCACCCACTTTTTTCCAGTTCTGGGTGCAAATTTTGTTCACAGTTAAGTGCTTGGTCAGGTTTTTTAAAGAAAAAGAGCTTGCCAGCTGGCATGGACTTTGTTTGGGGTTGCCTCACAAACCTCTGCTGATGGAAGGCTGGTCTGCTAAGTCTGGCCATCCCTAAGTTCCACATCTACTTGAGGATCTGGTCTCCAGGTCTCAGATTGACCTAGGAGACCTAGTTATGTCCCTAAACTGATTGGCTGTCAGATCCAGTTTCCAAAGGGTCTGGTCCTTCAGCAAAGCACGGAGCCAGGGCTGTAAAACCAGGATCCTGATTTGGCAACCAAGCCTGGATCTGGAGCTGAAAAACTCAGATCTCCATTTAACAGCCACCCACTGGTCCTGGCGCTGCAAAAGCCAGACCTGGATCCACAACAATGCACAGATCCTGAGCTGTAATTTTTTTTAAAAAAGGAAAAGGATCCAGATTTGACAGCTGAGTACAAGCCTGTAGCAAACAGCTATGGATCCAGAGCCAGAAACCAAGCCTGCATCTGGATCTGATAACATGGATCCAGGGCATGAGTCTGGATTCAGATTTGACAGCCGAACGAAGGACCAAATGAAATTAATAGGCAGAAGGTTTAAAACAAACAAAAGGAAGTGTTTCTTCACACAGTGCACAGCCAACCTGTGGAACTCTTTGCCAGGGGATGTTGTGAAGGCCAAGACTATAAAAGGGTTCAAAAAAGAACTAGGTAAGTTCCTGGAGGATAGGTCCATCAATGGCTATTAGCCAGGATAGGTAAAGATGCCAAACCATGTTTTGAAGTGTCCCTAGCCTCTGTTTGCCAGAAGTTGGGAATGGGCAACCGGGGATGGATCATTGATGATTGCCTGTTCTGCTCATTCCCTCTGGGGCACCTGGCATTGGCCACTGTCGGAAGACAGGATACTGGGCTAGATGGACCTTTGGTCCGACCTAGTATGGCTGTTCTTATGACGGCCAAGCACAATTGGCAAGAAGAGGTCCAGTTGCTTGGGATCCAGCCAGTATGAGAATGACACCTTTGCGTACTGAGAGTCAATTGACTAGTGGTTCTGTACCACTAAGGCCCCACATCTACTCACATCACTGGGGGTCTAGTACTGCAATTCCAACACGATCGTTGCAGAACTGCTTGCCTTACTGATTCCGTGCCCAACATAGTGGTCAGAGCAAACCGATCCAGCATGGAAGGCCCAGATCCTCAAAGGTATTTAAATGCTTAAGTCCTCAAAACACTGGACAGGGGAAATGCATTACAAACTTTTGATCTAATCCAGGATTTCTCTTTAGAGAGGAGAGTTTTAACATTTGCTTCATTTGGCCATTTTCTGATGCACACACTCAATGTCCTGTTTGTCTGGGAGGCGGGTTTTCCCCTTGCTGATGCTATCATCCTTCTGCTTTGAAGGCGAGAAGAGGGAGCCATCCTTAGACTCTTACTATCAGAAGTCTTAAAAGTAAATTTAGTCAGTTCTGGAACTGTCCGTTCCCTTGGCTCTGGGTAGGATCTATTGACTTTCTCTTGGGCTCCCGGCCCATTCCTAACAGCTCAGTTGTGCAGCAGAAATTTAGCCAACCTTAGCCAGAATACCTTTTTAGCCAGTCACATCCTCAGACAGGTGTATGCTCAGAAACCTGGTTTGGGGTGGCCAAATTTCTG